TAGCTATGTGACCCTCAGGCAAGTTTCTTAATCTCTCTGTGCTCATTTTTCTCATCTGCATAACAGGAATAATAATAGTACCTACCTTATAGGGGTGTTATGAGAATTAAACACCCTCAAATAGTGCCTTCACATAGTAGTCACTCATCAATGTTTACTTTTGTGGAATCAAATTTATATTAAAAATAGATATTTTGGGCGTTTCCTGCAAGTTTGGCTTCCCCAAGATGGCAGGCCCTTGTCAGTGGAGGTGGAGTTCGGAGGGGGCACAGAGCTCCTGGTGGACGGTGTGAAGAAGCGTCAGGTCACCTTGCCTGGGCAGGAGGAGCCCTGGGACCTCTGGAACCTCCTTGCCTGAATCCAGGAGAATATGCTCAAAGAACGGCCCCAGTTGTTCATCCAGGGAGACGGTGTGTGGCCAGGAATTCAGTGCTGAGGAACGATGCCAACTGGGAACTGCTGGGTGAGCTGGACTTCCAGCTTCAGGACCAGGAGAATGTCCTCTTCATGTCCACACTGCATGGAGGCTAAGGGCCCCTCTCTGTCTGGGCACCCTTGGGGTGGGGGGAAATCCCCTTGGGGGACATATCTAGGGTATGGCAGTATGGCAGGTGCCCTGGTTGCCACCCAGTTGGGGGGGCGTGGAACTCTGCCACTGAGCAGTTTCATTAGCCATTGCAGCTTCCATTGCCAGCTGTGACAGATCATTCAGCAAGTTAAAACTAATTATCATAGGCGCTACTTTCCATAAATGTACCTCTCCCTTGGGCCTTGCTTCCATATCTCCCTGCTCTATCCTCTGAACTCCCTCCGGGCAGGGAAAAGAAGCCAGGTGCTAAAAATGAGCCTTTCCCAGGCACTCGAGCAGGGGAAGGCAGGCAGGCAGGCACCTGAGCCCAGCACTCCCTCTCCCGGCAGCTGAGGTGGGGGCAGTGTGTTCCTCGGGTTTGTCAGGAGTGGAGATGGTCTCTGTGGTCAGGTGACCTAGCCGTGGTGGGGCCTGAGAACAACCCTGCTCCCTCCACTCCTGTGTCTCAGTCTAAGCGTGGAGTGGACCGCTCTCCAGGCCGCAGTGTCTTCATGGGGAGGATGAGCGGACCTGAAGAGCTGATGGAGACCCCCCTCCTCAAAGATTGGAGGAGTTTCTGCGTGAGTTTCCCCATCTGGACAGCACCTGTCCCTCACTGATATCATTATGGAACCCCAGCTGGAGTCCCCTATTCATTGCTGAACCCCTCCTCCCTTACCCAGCATATACTCTTCCAGCCACACCCCTCCTCCTGCTCCCATCTCCGGCCCTTGACCATGGCTGGCCTCCCCACACACAGCTCACCAGATGGACTCCTGAGACCCTCCCCCAGCAAAAGGCTGCCTGCCACTCAGCCTGCAGGGGTTGGGGAAGAGGAGGGAGTAGTTTAAACTTTGGATAGGCAAATAGAGGCCTGGCGAATTCAGTGTGCCTCAGTTTCGTCTTCAACAACATGGATATTGATAGTTATAAATCAGCTCATCTGAAAACTGGGGAGATACCAGATGGCACAAATGTAGATTATCTCCCTTCCCATCTCCTAGCTGGAAGCAGGATGGGGGCAGGCAGCACCTGGTTGTTGTTAGGTACTGTTGAGTCAGTTCTAACTCGTAGCAACCCTATGTATGACAGAAGGAAACACTGCCCGGTCATGCGCCATCCTTGCAATCATTGGTATGTTTAAGCCCATTGTTGCAGCCACTGTGTCAATCGTATGTTTAAGCCCATTGTTGCCGCCACTGTGTCAGTCTGTCTCGTTGAGGGTCTTCCTCTTTTTCGCTGAACCTCAGCGTTACCAAGCATGATGTCCTTCTCTGGGGACTAGTCCCTCCTGATAACATCCAAGGTATGAAGATGAAGTCTTGCCATCCTTGCTTCTGAGGAGCATTCTGGCTGTACTTCTTCCAAGACAGATTTGTTTATTCTTCTGGCAGTCCATGGTGTATTCAGTATTCTTCGGCAACACCATAATTCAATGCATCAGTTCTTCTCTGGTCTTCCTTACTCATCATCCAGCTTTTGAATGCGTATCAGATGATTGAAAATACCATGGCTTGAGTCAGGCATGCCTTAGTCCTTAAGGTGACATCTCTGCTTTTTAACTCTTTAAAGAGGTCTTTTGCAGCACATTTGCCCAGTGCAACGCATCATTTGACCTCATGGACCCCGCTGGACAACACTGACAACCATTGCATGAGAGTAACAATCTGGCCTCTCTCTGCCCACTCACTTATTGTATTGGTGAGAAATGGGGCATGTATTACCCTCCTCTTCTGTCTCTCTTTTTTCTTTGGGGGAATAAAAGAAAAACATATTTATATATTCTGGTCTGCATCTTTTGTGTCATAAGTGTTGTAGGGACAAGAAGCATATTTTGGGAAGGTTTTGGTTATTAAACAATGCCTATGGTTTGATGACTAAGTCTCATTCTAGGGTTCAGTAATGGGAAGTACATTGTTACTGCAGACCTAAGTCACACTGTCCAGTCCAGCTTGCATTAGCAATAAATCTTATATCTTAATCTCAGCTGGCCTGATCTCTTTGTCTCGAAAGTGGTTCTAAACTCAGGTGAGGGAAAAGGGGTGTTATTCAACTTTAAAATAGTGCTATTCCGATGATGGTCAAAATAAGGAAGAAATTTACTAATAGTAATATTTAGCTAATATGTGTTGGGAAGAAACAGGATTGAAATTTTAGCAGTGGGTTTCTCAGGTATATTTGGTATAATCTAATCTGATTTCTGGACAGTGCCCTGAAGTGTTGTGTTTCTGTAATCACTTTACTGTAGGGCACGTTTCATGTAGATATATTAGAAGTTGTAGAATGGTACTCTTGTGAACATTATTGCGTGATTGTCATCTTTGTAGTTATTTTGGGACTTCTACTGTCAACATGGCTATGTGAGTTAGCATTTTTTCTTTCTCTGGAAGTCAACAAATGCAGCATGGAGAATGAAAGGAGGGACTGAAATATTCCGTTTTCAGAAAAGTAGGAGGCAGATGTAATTCACAGACTCTAAATATGTATAAGACTTACCAAAAGCAGCTAAGATTGGGCAGAAATAGTACAGAGAGAAATGAATAGAAGTGTAGAGGTTGAGAAAAAAGACTCAGCAGGGGCAGATATAGAAGATACCAGCAAACATACACATTGTAAAGAGGACTGGCAAGAAAGGCAAATGTTTTGTAAGCTATATTCCTTGCCATAAGTGATAGAACTACAGGGAAGAGGGCTGACATCAAAAGATTTCTTAGACCCAGTTTTATTTGAGAGGTGGGCAGTGGGGTTACAGATGAGCCATATTTTGTGAAAAACAGCCTTTCCCTGTGGAAACAAAGGAAAGAGAGCATTTGGATGGATAAGCGTAGAAAGCTACCATGGCCTTCTGCTCCTGGAGCCTTCTGCAAAATAAGTGGTCTAGGAAATTCTATCTTATTCAAAAATGGGTATTAAAAAAAAAAAAAGTAGCTGTCACAACATCAGTATATTCTAAGGAAAATAAGAGAGACAGAGACAAACAGAATGCACCTGTGCAAAGACATTAAAAAAAAACTATGAAAACAAAAATATGTTATACCAGGACAAAATTGAGACCAAACACATATTGTATCAGTAGATGTAAATAGGCTATTAAAAGATCTTCAGATTGGATCAAAAAGCAAAACCTAACTCTGACCTGTTTATAAGAAGCACACCTAAAATACAGTGATTCAGAAAGATTGAAAATTTAAAAAAAGCAGGAACAGCATACCAGGCAAATATAAACAAAAACAAAATGGGACAAAAAAACATAAAAGGAAAGAAGAAAAGCACTTTATAATGCCAAAAGATTCACTTGAGTGAAGGTATAAATCCCTTTCAAAACCAGTGGAATATATGGTTGCCTACCCACTTTTTCTGGCTCTCAGGTTTTTGAGGACTCTACTTTTCCCACTGAAAGTATTTGCTGCCCTCCAGTGGGGATTTGTGTAATGGTGAAAGGTGAAAGAAACATTTGTTGAAGCAAAATAGCTGGGGTATTAGGCAAAACCAGAGGTGCCCCATGTACCAAATGGAAGGTGCCCCAAAATAAAGTCCGCTACCCAAGACCAGTGGGCCAGACAGGTGCCCACAAATCATGTATTTTCACACAATCTTTCTCAAAATCCATATTAACAAACAAAAATTTAAACACAGTCCATTAACCTGCATACATTCCCTTACTGAACACACATGGTATCAACAAAAAATCCAAAGCAGAAAACAGTTGGGTCTTGAAAGGGTTTTAACAGGAGAGTCTGCACCAAATATCCTAGCATTCCAGGAGATGCAAACAGAAATAGAAGAATTCTAAGTAGTGGAAAACTTTAATTCATCATTCTTGAAAAAAAGACCATATCTCATAAATTCTGTTAGTGTTTTTAGTACTCCGATTTCCTAGACATTCTGCAATTTCTATGTTCTTTGACCAACGTTTAGTTTAAGAAGGAGTTTTAGTTTAGTTTTCTTTTTTTTTTTTTTAGTTTAAAAATAGAAAAGTCTTTTGATTTTCTGATTATCTGGTCCGCAGACAATGTTGAGCCTGAGTGTGTAGTCTTTTAAAAATATTTGTTAGTAACCAAGGCAGATTGGCCTTCAGCATCTATTTCAGTCTCGTGCTAATGTGCTCCTGTTCTATAAAGGTTGGAAAGCTAAAAACTACAATTCACAGACTCCCTGCTAGCTAGGGTCCTGGATATAAATTAGCTTCCATTAACTGGATGCAAGTCTGCATGACTCAAAGATTCGCTCAGCTTCCTTGTATTAAACCCTTTTCAGCCTAACATAGGTAGAATGATGACTTTCTTTTAACTGAACTCGCACTGATACACAGACAGTTTAGAATGCCTCATGCTAGCATAGCTTTATGCTATATTTGTTTTATATCACTATAGTTTATTACCTTATTAAATAGATTTACATATTGCTTAGCTTTTTTCCTTTTTCTTTTAAGCTATTGCAGCTAATTGCAAAATCCCAATTAACTTCATTGAGTGGTGTGGCACAAAAGAATTACTTCAGCATTTTGGATAAAATCGTTCAAAAGGGTAAGATGATCACTGATGTTTTTAATAATCTAATTCTTAATTAGAAATTTCAAGAAAGAGTATGGGATCTTGCTTTTGTCTCCTCCCCACCTCACCCCCAGTAGGTATGCTTTCAAAGTCAATAATGTCAAATAGTGGGATAGTATTAGACAGGAATACAAGTTGGTCCCTCCAATTCTTAATGTTCTATGTTACCATTATTTACCTTTTTAAAAATTTGCTTCTGCGTACAAAGGAATATATAAGAAAGATAATTTAATCCCTGAGTTTTAAAAAGATACTTTACCTTTTGTGGCTAGCCAATCACTGTTCATTTTAGATGTTTATTGTTTGCATAATTAGCAGAGTTGTGATCTATTCACTTAGGCATCAGACAAGCCAATAATTTCTTTAATGAGTTGTAATTTTGTTACTTAGGAGTTATTAATAGGCAGAACTTTAAATTTCACACCAAGAATTTATGCATATATAGGAAATTAAGACTATATGTGTGTATATATATGCCATTTTTAATATTCTCTTTATGATAAATATAAAAGAAATTATAAACTGGTAATTTTAAAGGCAAAATTGTTAACCCAACTGAAAATATACTATCAGGCAAAATTTTTTAGTTTTTTAAAATCTCATAATACTTGTGATATTTCAAAAATTATGCCACGTTCTGGGTTGCAGTGAAATTAGATAATTTTAAAAAGGGGTGATTAACTGCAGCCCTCGCTCCATAGCTTTTTCTTTATTCCAGTTCTCAGTGACCACCAGAATCCTCGCCTAATAAAAGAGCTCCTCCAAGATCTGAGCTCTACACTTCGCATCCTTATTAGAGGAGTGGGGAAGTCTGTACTGGTGGGAAATATCAATATTTGGATTTGCCGATTAGAAACTATCCTCACCTGGCAACAGCAGCTACAGAATCTTCAGATGACTAAGGTATGAATTGCTTCAACTAAAAAGTACCACACCCTATTTTATATTACAAAAGTCATTGCCTCTTCTAAGCGTACATGAAAGACTCTTAGAGCTTTTTGAACATTTTTTTTTCTTTTCACAAGTATTAATTGTTTTAAGATGAATTGAGATCAGAAGAACCTTTAATGACTTACAGTTGTTATTAGAAAGACAGTGGGGATGGTAATCATTAAACAAAGCTGATCCTGTGGGTGATTAGGTGGTAAATTAATTTACCTTTAAAGGAAATTGTTTCAGGCTGCTAAAACAACATTCAGTAAACTAAGGCTAAATTATATTGCCAGTAATTCTCCATCCATCTAGGTGTTGCTTCTCCGGGGTTATTATTATTGTTTCTCCTTTTGCTTTCTGTTTGTGTGTGTGTTGTTGATAGTTCTTTGGCCACAGAGAACACGGGAAAAAGAAGCTGCAATTCGTGTCCGTTGTTTTTGCTATTTTTATTTATTGTGGTAACTAGTTTCAGTGAGAAGAATGTTGAGACTATTGATCAAAGTAAGTGTTTTAGACTGTATTTTGTTTTGTCTCTAGTACCACCTAGGAGAAAGGATAAACTGTAGATACAGATATACAGATCTTCCACATGGAAGTAGTTGTTTTCAAAAGTGACTTTAGAATACCTTAACTTTGGATCATTTATTACCCATCTAAATATAGGGCTTAGAAAAAAAGTAGTGATACCCTACTACTCGTCTGAACTTATCATCAATAATCAAGTACTCAGTGTCAATGAGAGCTAAGCAAATATGATATAAACATTGGATTATTTGTTCTATTGTCTTAAAAATGACTCTACCAGTAATTCAGAGATCTCTATAATCTGGCTGTACCCTACCTGCCTTCCTTCGTTTCCCATGTATAAGTGGGTTGTGCTATGAAAATTTATTTGTAAGACATTTAAAAGATGGCACATAGTTTGCTAGAGAAGCACTGATGTAAATTTCAGAAAAATAGGAGGCAGATGTAATTCACAGTCTAAAATATGTATAAGACTTACCAAAGACAGCTAAGATTGGGCAGAAATAGTACAGAGAGAAATGAATAAAAGTGTAAAGTCCAGGTCACATGCTACAAATCCCATTTATCCTTCATGTAGCTAATTTGTAGAACTGATATCATCTCAGCTAATGAATCTCTGGGGAGAGAGAGTGAGGTATGGGGTTTTAATGGTCAACAGCTCTAAGGAAGAGAATGTTTGGGAAAGACCAAGAAGCAGCCTTTCTGGTCTGGCTGGGAAGTTCCAGGCAGGGCTTAGCTGCTGTGCATTATTTAGAAAGAAATGTAGATTAATGACAACCTCAGATGAGTGAGGATAGCAAAGAAACTCCAAGGACAGGTTCTGAATGTATCTCCAAGGGAAGAGAAAGAAGAAAGCAAGGAAAAGCCTTTCATCTTTGCTTGGGTGGACTGTGGCAGAGCAAGAAAGAGGTATAAACGTGTAGTTCAGAAAGCACCTTTTTAGATCTTCACTTTCATTTCCATTAACTTGGTAGAGGAGCAGAGGGATAATGGGAAATATAAATTATCTTAAGTTGACCAAATGGTTTGGCATACTCAAAATGGCTAACCAAAACCAAACCACACCAAGCCCGTTGCAGCTTGAATCAATTCCAAATCATAGTGACCCTATAGGACAGGACAGAATAGAACTGCCCCATAGGGTTTCCCAGGAGCAGCTAACAGACACTATAATTAGAAGAAAATGGCTGGGAAGAACGTCTTCTGTTTTTGGCCTGACATACATCTCCACAACACTGATGGTCCAAGTATACTGCCTTAGCTAGAAGTGACTGGTGTTACAATATTATCATTTTGATTAGGTAGGAAGAAATTAAGGTACAAAAGTGAAATTAATGTTGATACTTTAACTGAGGTAGAATGACAACCCAAAAGTACTAGTTTCTGTCCTGTCCATTCAGACGTTATCATCTGAGACCTTCCAATAATTTCTTCTAACACTTAGCACGTTAGGTTGCTTTAACATCGGTTACATACTCTGAACGCTCATCTTGTCTCCTCCTGGTTAATGTTATTTACAACAAGGGAGGAGATGCGGGTAAGCACCTCTGGCTGTGGCATATCTTTTCTTTGTGATGAGTTTGGCATTTCTGGGCCCAGTGTCTTGCTTCTAGTCTTATTTTGTATTATCATTCAGTGTATGAGGTAGAGAATTTTTACCTCTCTGTGAATGTTATTTGAAACCAATGGAAAGAGATCTTTACAGTGCCCAATAATTCTGCGGCATTTTGTAGATACTATACTAAGTCAGCCAAATTAGTCTGAGGCCGCTTTCTATAATACGTCCTGGTCTTATAACTCTCTGGCTAATGGTGAATTGCTGCCTTATGTTTGTTCATAGTCAATTTTAAGGTGACACCATAAGTCAGAGGGTAGAAGAGTAATAGCCAAAATCTTCCATAGGTCATTGATAGTCAAGAGTCCAAGAGCATTTCCTGAAATTAAATTCAACTCAACATCGTAGAATGTAATCGCCCATTTTCTCCAGTGATTTAACACTCTTAATTCTCTTTTAAATTCTCCTAGCAAAAAATATGTTACTGATCCTTAAATCTGAATTCTCATATGCACAGAAGTAAGTAGAAGCTTTCTTTGTAAGGAGTTTCTGAGAAGACCAAAATATCAAAGTAGTTAAGACCACAGAGCCAGATACCTTGAGTTCAAATCCTGGATCCATCATTCTCTCAGCTGAGGGACCTTGGGCAAGTCAGTTATTTGCATCTCAGTTTTCTCATATGTAAAATGAAATAATAGTATGTCCCTCGTGGGTTGGTCTGAAGATAAAACAGCATCAGTAGAAGTGCTTCCACAGAGAAATGGAAATCATTCAGATTTGGATGGAATAGCTGAGACTGTCCCAAAGCAAGAAAACAAGAGGTGGTGTTCCATTTTCACAGATCAGTTGATGTCATTATGGAGAGGCTTCATGACTGAAAATTATTTAGCTAATCAGTGGATTAAACTGAGCTAAAAATGCAGTGACTTCTGACATATTGTCTAGCAAAAGATTTCTATGCTACTTCGCATTTGAATGGCAAGATACAGTTTAGATGAGAATATTGACATTTCTCCTATATTCTCTTGTTTATAGCCATACATACCTGTTGCCGTCAAGTCGATTCCCACTCATAGCGACCCCATAGGACAGAGTAGAACTCTCCCATAGGGTTTTCAAGGAGCAGCTGGTAAATTCAAACTGCTGACCTTTTGGTTCGCGGCTGAACTCTTAACCACGGCGCCACCAGGGCTCCAAAAAAAGCCTACAGCACCTGGTATTCCCAGGTGGACACCCAGCCAAGTACTAAGCAGACTCGACCCTGCTTAGCTTCCAAGATCAAACGAGATCAGGCACGTTCAGGGTGGTATGGCCGTAGCCTGGGCCCTGCCAGAACCAGCTGCCAAATTGCCATACCAGCATCTATAATTCCTTACTAAAACCCAGGATTTTTTTCTATCACTTCATACTACCTTGAGCTTTCTAGTTTTAGCAGCAGACTTGTTTTGAACTATCTAGTGTACAAATCTCTCTGTTAGGATGAAGAGTGAAGCACCTGTTCAGAATAAGACTTAATTCTTACCATAGTGTTGAGACTATTAGATGGGGGATCAATTCACATGCATATTATTTTCTATATGTATTCTCTGCCATATGCTACACAATAAAATGGAACTTACTGGCTAAATCTTGAATAAAACATGCTTAGACGAGTCAATAGTGAGCATTCATTCATTCAAAGAATATTTGCCATGTGCCACAGGCCCTGTGCTAGATACTGGCGACATGACGCCCCTGGGATTGTGCAGCACAGTGGCCCACGTTAACACCTCCTTGTTGGCCAAAGAGTGAGTCATGGTCTAGTTGTGGAGACAGGTAAAAACTAGTGAAGTGACACGCAATTTAGAGATTAAAGAGCCATGAAAGCACAGAGGTACCCTACGTAAATGACACAATTGTGTCCAAAAGGGTAGAGTCTTTCATAAATTGTCAGCAAAGATTGAGGCCCTACTGGGTGTCTAACAGTGTGCTTCATGCACTTTGATAAAGAAGTATAATTCAAAAACAGCCATCATATCTGTCCATCCTTTCTGTTGCCCCGTTTGGATGCACAGTAAGTGTCCTCCAGCAATTTATGTTTTCAGAGTGCTAAGAAAGTATTCCACAGGTAGGACTGCATTAGGGAAGCACTGAGAAGAAAAGGGGTAAATGGCAAGGCACGTCATACCTCCTTATTCATTCACCTTTCACTGCACCCCACTCATTTTAGGTCTGTCCCCATAGGGGGCAGATGGTCTCTCAGACCAACCTCAAGGAATTAATTCATTCTGGCCAGAAATATTCCCTAAATTTGTTCGTTGTATGCAGTGGTACTAGGGTCGCCAAATCAAGCCTGCTGCCATCGAGTTGATTCCAACTCATAGCAACCCTGTAGGACAGAGTAGAACTGCCCCCTAGGGTTTCCAAGGAGCAGCTGTTGGTTTCAAACTGCTGACCTTTCGGTTAGCAGCCAAGCTCTTAACCACTACAAAAAATCAAAGGGACTGCTGTCACTGCCTTTATGGCTATAAGAGTATATAGACCAGTTTGGGAACCCCCCCCCAAAAAAAAATCATTGAACACATATGAGAAGCATGCAGATGTGTACATGGATGTTACCTCAGAACAAAAGGGTGGCTGGAGTGCCCTGTGGTTAGAAGCTGAGCTGGACTCAAGTAGTCTCATCAAACACCCATTCTCTGCCCTCCTGCTGAATCAGTTAAATACTCCAGCCTGTTAGTAAGAAGTTCTTCTAATGAGAATTCAGGCATGCAGTTTGAGACAACTTGAGGACTGAAAAGTCTAAATGGGTTTGAACCCGAACTAGATCCAGGGCTGCTCTATATCAGCCTTCAAAGCAGTTATTTCTTGAACTAATTTAGCCTCCAAGTAGGGCTAGTGCTCATCTCTGAAACCAGAATACAATTATATCTGTTTTTCTGTTCCCTTTTATAGCACAGTCAGCTTTTAATTTTGCTCTAGAGTGTATATAAATATGGTTCTTCACTTTCATCAGCCTTTCGGGGGGATAAATACATCGTATTTACTCTCAGGTTTATGTCAGGGAGGATATGGTTTATAAATGTGAAGCCACAGAAATGTTAAGCGAAAAGGGACCTTAAAGGTAATTTAGTCTCCCTCCCCTAGTAATCGAGCTGAAATAACCGTGGCCCATTAATGCGAAAGTACTGCCCAAGGCCACCCAGATGGTGACCAAGGTATGGAGTCAGCCCGGGTCTCCTGACTCACAGGCTAAAGGCCTTTCTACTCTACCATATGGCCACATAAAATGCCTGTCTTTGTTGCTCTCCTGAAGCATTAGGTTCATTTCTTCAGCAATTCTGTATTCTTAGAACCTAGCATTTCCCAGGCTTTTTTTTTTTTTTTTTTAATGTATTAGTCTAATACTTTTCTCCTGTTGTTCAAAATATATCTGGTTCATGTAATGGTGGTATAACAGAAGCCATAAGAAGGAGGAGAAGAGAAAGAAAATCTAGGTTCTATTTCTGGTTTCTCTGTTTTCTGCCCGTGTGACTTAGGGCACGTCACTTTATCTGCTCGTGTGTCGGTTTCTTTATTTGTGAAATAGAAGTAACCCTCTGCCCCGCCTGCCTTGCAATTGCCCTGAGGATGATGAGACCATGCATACAAGCCTTTCACAAACTGTGAAGTACAGTAACGTCATATTTTAAATTGTAGTCTGTATTTTGAAGTATTTATTCTAGCTTGAGCATTGAATTTCAATGTAAATAAATAGTACTGTTTATTGCGCTCCCGATGAAATGGTATCCGTGTTTTCCTTTCAGCAAGTGAACAATGGCCTTACCCTTAGTGATCTCCCTTTACACATGCTGAACAACATATTATACAGATTCTCGGATGGATGGGACATCATAACTTTAGGTCAGGTGACTCCAACGTTGTATATGCTCAGTGAAGACAGACAGTTGTGGAAGAAGCTTTGTCAGTACCATTTTGCTGAGAAGCAGGTAAGCACGACAGCAGAGCTGCCTCCCTCCAGAGTCCATGAGTTTAGTAGATAACTGCCTGCAGATCCAGTAGCGCGTGAATGTGCTCACCTGAGGTGTTTTCCCATGCGCTCTACTTCAGGTACATTTTTTTTTTTAGGTACATTTTTAAAGAATCAAGAATAATCACAGTTCATTAAAATTGCTTATCGTTTTTTGTAAGATTTTTCATATGTAAAAAGAGCCATAGGCTAAAAATAGCCCCAAACAAAACCTCTTTTAAAAGCAATAGTATATCAAAACCATCTGTTTATTTTCTTTTCTCCTTAATTTGGTGAATCGAGTTCCAGTTCTGCCTTTTATCAAACTGTGTATCTTTTAAAAAGTTATTTAAACTCTTTGAGACTTAGTTTTCTGTTATCAGTTAGTAACACACCATTCTTCAATTTCCAAAGGATACCCCTTCACCTTTCTGTATTTCCCACTGCCTTCAAGAACCAGTGTGGGAACCAGCACAAAGTACATGTTTATGTATACTTTCTAGGCTTCTTCTCCCATGCAGTTTTCTCACTATCCAAAGTTAAATCTTCTTGTTGCTGTTTCTAGATCACTGCAGAAATCATTTATTCACTCATTTATTGCACAGATACTTAGTGGGTACCTGTTATGCTCAAGGCAGAATGAAAGGCAAGGGTGACAGAGTCATGAAGAAGGCAGGTATGGCCCTTACTCTCATGGAGATCTCTGTCAGAGGGGATTATGATAAATACTATACAGAAGCGGTGTAGAATTATGTAAGCATTTCATAGGTGAACATGGTCTACCGTTGGAGGACAGGGCAGGGGTAAGGGAAATTCCTTGAGAAAATTAAGGTAATCTAGGCAGTAAGCAGAGGCAAGAAGATTCTAGGGAGAGGGAACGGTTTGTGTAAAGGCTCTGAAACGGAGAGGGGCATTGTATGCTTGAGATGAAAGATAACCACTGTGACAGGAAGGTAGATGTTGAGAGGACGTGACATAAGTGAAGCTGGTACAATAGCCAGGGGCCAGATCATGCAGGTCTTAGAGGCCGTGTTAAGGATCTTAGTCTTCATCCAAAGAGTTTAGAAAAGCCATTGAAGGGTTTTGAGCAAATTGCAGTTTTTTTTAGTAGTCAATAATTATTTTATTTATTTCGTTGCTGTTGGTGATTCACTGCAAAGCATACACCAATTCAGGTGTCTTCATGTACAATTCAGTGACATTGATCACATTCTTTGAGTTGTGTAACCATTCTCACCCCCCTTTTCTGAGTTGTTCCTCCTCCATTAACATAAACTCACTGCCCCCTAAGTTTCCTATGTAATCTTCCGAGTTGCCATTGTCAGTTTGACCCCATATAGATAGATCTCGAAAGAGCACAAGGATCAAGATCCTTCTTGCTCTTGTTTGAGGAATAGGTTGAAATGGAATGCAAGGAGGCTTATGAAGAGACTATCCCAAGAAAGACCAACAGACTGTCACAAGAAGGAGCGGTGGCTAGGGAAATGCAGAAGTGGACAGATTTGAAAGTCATTTAGGAGATAAAATTGGTAGGATTTGGTGCTTGACTGGATATGAGGTGAAGAAGAGGAGGGGGAGGTGTTCGAGCCAGGTTTCTGGCTTGCAGACTGGTGGATGGCAGAGCATTTCCGTGCAGTAGGGAGCACTGGAGGGGATGATCAGGTGTGGGGATAAGATGATGAGTTACAGGTTTGGACAGGTTTGAGTGTGATGCCTTTCAGATATCTCAAGGAAAAAAGTCAAGTAGGCTATTGGATATTCTGAGGAAAGATCTAAGCTGGAGATATAAATTGAGACTGATCAACATATAAGTGGTATTTGAAGCCATGGGCATGGATGCAGTTGTCTACAGAGAAAGAATAGGTTGAGATGAGAAGAGGAACTGGGAGAGCCTTGAGGAACTCCATCATTAAAGGCTGAGTAAAGAACCAAACTACAAAGGACTAAAGAGAAAAGGCACTAGAGAGGTGGGAGGAAAAACAGGATATTGAAATTCCACAGAAGCCAAGGAAGGGTGTCCAGAGATGAATTGTGATGCTACTGAGAGATTAATTAAGGTAAAGAGTAGGAAATTTGATTTAGTTATATAGAGGTGATTGGTGGCCCTAGCAAAAACTGTTCTAGGTGAATGTGTTGAAAGGAGCAAAGAAATGGAGGTATTAATTTGAACAGGAAAGAAATTAGATTGCATTCTAAAAGTCAGCATAGGAAAGGGGTGATTGAATTTTTTGAAGGGAGAATTTAGAACCTAGGAAAAGAGGGTGAATGAAGGTGTATCTGGGATGGAGAAGAGAAAGGTGGCCCTCTCTTTATACAGCGTACCTCGGAGCCTCCCTCTCACTGGACACTGATGCTGGACAGAGGTGTCTGTATTGGGGGTCTCCTTAGATGGTTTTTGTCTCCTGCTTATCCTTTCACCTCCATCATCATATCCAGGCCCTAATAACTGTTTACCAAATACATTTATGAGAATGCCAGACAGTTTCTTTTATAAATCTATGTTCTAAAGATCTTCTAAGAATATCTATTGGCCATTTGTGAGTTGTCTGCATTTCATTAAATGAACCACTATATAGAAGTTAAATGTCTGTTCTGCACCAATATTTAATGTCATACCAGAAGAGTTAGGTTATAGTTAGCAATTAGCACCTACAGTTGTATCTTGTTTGCACATATTTCCTTGACTGAATTCTAAAAATACAACATCAAAAAATTACCTCTCCTTCAGGGCTCAGTAACTAACGGTAAGACCCTGAAAAAAGACAAGCATGTTAGAACAACTTTATGAAAATGGTATAGGTTAGAACGCTCCCTCCAGATGAAAATGGAGTCCAGTATAAAGGTTGGACTGATACAAAGAATCTGAAATAATGTTGGAAGGAAAAGTTGACTAAATACTCTTGACTTGAGCTTCTTGTTGTGGATGTTATGTTTGAGTTCAGAAAAATCACAGTTGGTTATTTATGAGAAAAGTAATGTGGGGGCCAGGAAAATTCTCCATATAGCTGCCTGTGCGTGTTGGTGTAGTACAGGGTTAGTGAGAAGTAAAGGTAAGGGCCAGTTAGTTCTTTTTATTATTAAGGAATTAATTTTGTTAACAGTTATTGGAGGATACAAAAATCAATATAAGTAGGCCTGTAATTACCTTTCTTTTTTTCTCAAGCTGTCCTTTTAAATTTTTACCAGAAACAAGGATTTCCTCATTGACAACATCATAATTTCAAAACAAAGTAGTCAAAGCCATGATTAAACTATGAATATTTTATCCAAATGATTTTTTGAATTGTAAAAAGTAAAATTTGCTTATTGTGACAACAGCAAAATCATAAAGACTAAGTACAATGTTAAAAAAAAAAAAAAGAAAAAGTGAAAAGCATCTACCACTCCCCGGGGTAGCCACTGTGAACAGTTTATTACATGCGTTTCAGCTTTTATACATGTCAAGCATGCTTATAAAATTTCTCTCTCTGTACACGTTTATTTTTTCTGTAATGGAAATCATATCACTAACCTATTTGTTTGTAACAGCTTTATCAAGATGTCATTCACATATCGTACAGTTCACCCAACAAGTGTACAATTCAGTGGTTTTTAGCATATTCATAGAGTTGTATAACCATAAGCACAATCCATTTTAGAATATTTCATCACCTTAAAAAAAACCGTGTACCTTTTAGCTGTCAACCCCCCTCCTGCATTTCCCCATGCCCACCCAGCCCTAAGCTACTACTACTCACTCTACTGTCTGTTCCGTTGCTGTGGTTAGGTGCCATTAAGTCGGTTCCAAGGAAACACTGCCCGGTCCCGCGCCATCCTCACCATCATTGCTATGTTTGAGCCCATTGTTCCATATTCTGGACATTTCACATAAATGAAATCACATAATATGTGGTCTTTTGTGACTGGCTTCTTTCACTTAGCGTAATGTTTTTAAGATTCATCCATGTTGGAGCATATATTAATATTTCATTCCTTTTTATGGCCAGATAACATTTCATTGTGTAAATATACCACATTTTGTTTATAACACTCATCAGTTGATGGACATTTGGGTTGTTTCACCTTTTAGCTATAATAAAGAATGCTGCTGTGAACATTTATGTACAAGTTTTTGTGTGGATATATGTTTTCATATCTCTCGAGCAGAACTGCTGGGTCAAATGGTAATTGTATGTTTCAATTTTTAAGGAACTCTCAGACTGTTTTCCAAAGTGGCTGCACTGTTTTACATTCCTGCCAGCAGTGTATGAGGGTTCTGATTTCTCCACATCCTCAGAAATATTATCTGACAGATTTTTAACCATCCTACTGGGTGTGAAGTGGTATCTCATTGTGGTTTGCATTTGCATTTCTCTGATGACTAATGTTGTTGAGCATCTTTCAAGTGCTCATTGGCAATCTGTGTATCTTCTTTGGAGAAATTTCTATCCAGATCCCTTGACCATTTTTCATTTTTTAACTGGATTATTTGTCTTTTTATTACTGAGTTGTCTTTTTATTACTGAGTTGTAAGTGTTCTCTATATCCTAGATGCAATCCCATATCAGATATATGATTTGTGTGATTTATTTTTAACTTAATAATATATGTGGGCATCTTTGCAGATTAGAATATTTAAATTTTTCAACAGCTGCTCTGTATTCCATTGTACAGACATGCTGTAATTTATCTGATTAGTCCCTTATTGATTTAATCCAAGTAAGTTGTTTAATTTCAAATAATTAAATGTTTCATGCACTGCATTTAAAACTAGTTTTGCACTAATCCTATGCTTGGAAAATCATCTGCTAATTCTGAACGGAGTTTTGTTTATGTCTAGTTTTGTAGACATTTGATCATTTCAGAGAAAGGTCATATCGAATGGAAGCTGATGTATTTTGCGCTTCAGAAATATTACCCAACGAAAGAACAATACGGAGACACGTTACATTTTTGTCGGCACTGCAGCATTCTGTTTTGGAAGGTAATAATTTCAAATATACTCCTGGAATTTGAGGATTTAAATTTGGTGAAATAAATTAATCACCTATATTTTAAGTGTAAAGGTAAAATAAAAAATAGAAAACACTGTGTGTGATGAGGTTAATAAGATGTATTTCACCAGATGTTGGGACGGGGGAGCAGGTATTTATGAAAGTACTGCACAGCCTGTGTTTTGAATCAGCAATGTTGAAAACCGGATTGTTCTGTCACCTTTTCTGCCCTTAGATAACTGTTGTGAGTATATAATGGGTATATGCCGGGGAGCCAGTGAGGCAAGAAAGCGTCCTTCTGGCTCTCTCTCCGGTTTCCGACGCCTCGGCAGGAATTGCATTCTGAAGGCTGATGGCTTTACACCCAGCAGGCTCTGGAATGTCTCTGCCAGTCCTCTGTCTGAAGATAAAGGGATTTCAGATTCTTCCCACCCTCTTTGTAAACCTAAGGAAGAATTCTTCTCACTTACTTCCCCAGAAAGGAGGCCTGGTGGTGTGGTGGTTAAACACTCAGCTGCTGGTCAAAAGGTTGGCAGTTGGAACCCACCCAGCGACTCCGCAGGAGAGAAGACCTGGTGATAGGCTCCCATAAAGATGACAGCCTAGGAAACCCTATGGGCCATTCTGCTCTGTCACATTGGGTCACCAGGAGTCGAAAATCTGTCTCCACGACACCTTAGAAAACAAAAAAAAAATCTCCAAACTTGACCTTCAGCCCAGGACCCTGATAATTCAACTCTTGATTTCCTTTAGCCAAGTGGCAGTTTACTGGTTCTCAGAGCTGCTTTTCTCAGCGCAGTTCTTAAAGCAAGGAGGTCAGTGAAGAGTTAATCTGCTGATAGGAAGTTCTTCAGGCACAGACTTCAAAATAAACATGCCATTTTCTCATCTATTTGATCCAAACAAGACTGTCATTACTTATCTGCAGGTCTCTTCCTTCGGCAAAAAATTTAAATTTAGAAGCATCTTCAGTATCTAAAGATTAACTTAGGAATCCTTCATCCTGTTACTTTCCTGTTATTTGCTTTGCTTTTTATTATCCAGACCATTCTCTGATAATAACATATTTTCCATCGTCAGAGGTAAACTTACGTATAGCATTTCTGTGGTACCGTTTTATTTTCTTAACATGTAAATACTGTTGTACCCTGAATGCATCTCCATGGCTTGCCTTGAGTTTGAATATATTCGATGTGAGATTTCACTGGAGGAAAAAAAAGAGGCGAAACTATGAAAACCTGCCCCCACGGTGGCTGCAGATCCCCCGTCCGAGAACCTGCAGTTCCTGGCTGCTCCTCAAGGGGGAGCACCGCCTCCCAGACAGGCCACAGCACCAGCCCAAGCACAGCCCCTCCTCCTCCAAACCTCCCACCTTCTGTGATGTAGGGGGGAAATAATGGTCAGCTTGATAAACACCGTAACTCTTTCCTTAACTTCTTTGCATTTTGTATTTACCTACAGTTTATCATCAGGTGGATCATAACAATAGCAAGCTCTAGATTGTTGGAAAAGAGACAACTATTTTGAATTTTTTTTGATTTCAAATTACGTTTATAAAAATTGTGACATGCTTTAAGTTACAATCCACGATCGAGCAGAGAGTGGAAAAGATTCATTGTTCTTGTATTATTTTAATAGTTTTATTTACAGTTTCAAAGGTAAGCAGCATCATGAGTAACTACTAATGCCCCCATGCATGAATGACCTAAGAGATTTTTATTCCTAGTTTATTGTTTTATATCATAGGGTAACTGCCCTCTTTTCTGAAACTAAAAAGGTGGAAGATATGTTACAAGTTTTTGCCAGTAGCCCACTTGTGTTGTAGGACATTGTCCTTCAAGAGCTGGGGCGTTCTCTGCTCCCCTGTATCCTCACCTTAGTGCCAGGCACATACTCCTGGGTGTTTAGTAAGTGTCAGCCGAATGGATGCATCAGTAAACCATCAGTGAGACTACAGATACACAGAAGAGAGTCCTTTTTTGTTCCCTGCTTTTCAAAGGGCACAAAAAACACAGCATGGTGGGTAAGTTGTCAACACATGCAGATGCTAGTGGAGAGGAAAAAATAAGACCAAGTGTGTAGGGGTGTCGGGCTGTCACCCTGGCTTTGATACTTGACCTAGAAGGAACTGTACTAACCTTTCTCTGCGGTTCCTTCTAGGACTAATATCCTGTGCTTCTCTTAAAAGCATTAATATTGACTGAAAACACATGCAGCTATGTCTTCAATGGTATAGTAAGACTAGATGAGATGCTATGAATTTTTACTTTGAATTAATTCTTCTCGGGTTTTATCTTTCTTTCTGTTAAGACTGTTTTATACTCTCAAAATACCAGAAGCAGTGATACCTTCATGTGGGCTGTAAATTAGGGGAAAATACTAGTCATGGGATAGAAGTCTTTCAGTTTTCCATGTGATAGTATTTTTCTTAGAACAATATTTAAGACTATTGGAGTTCTCCCTTTCTGCCAGCTAACTAAGAAACAACAACTCTGTCCTTAATTTTGGTGTAGTTAAGCAGTATAAGTATCCTGAAATGTGGAAATTATGATTTTTTTTTTAATTGAGAGATGATTCTGGCTTTCCAAAAGAATTTACCTGCAAATTCTTTTATTTAGTGAACCTTCCTATTATACTTAATCATGTTACCAAAAAAAAAAAAAAAAGTCTGCTTGTATTTTCAGTTTTGAAATATTCAGAATCTTGTTCTTGGAGGGGTATATGATATCACACTTCACTGTAGCCACAGGATTGGCCTCAGTTCATTTAGGGTCTTTTAAGTCTTCATCACGTCACAGCTTTTTCTGCCATACATCATTCCAGAAGACATTGATTGAAATCAACTTTATTGTTGCTGAATCTCTACATCAGAGTGTATAAAAAAAAAAAAAGATCAATCTCTAGAATTTCTGGAGGAGCCGATTTCCTAATTTAATTCCTAAAAAAGCCAGGTACTTTCTACCCTGCCTCCCAAGTCTACTTGGGCCCAGCTTAGCTTGTCAAGAGGTGGAGTAGTGTGGGAGAAGCACAGACGTCGAAGTCAAGCAAACCTAGATCTCCAGCTCCAACACGTAGTGTTGTGTGGCCATGAGAAAGTCACTAACCTCTCCTAATCTCAGTTTTGACAATAGAATCTACCAAGAAGGATCACACCTAGCACATAGTTGGTGCTCCAGAAGTGGTACCCACTATTCTTCATTTTCTTTAACATCCCAGTAATGTTGGTTGAGAAACTAAAAATATTCAACCTAGTAAGAAAAAAGGGAAGCTTTGGGGGGAGTTCAGTGAATTTAAGTTGTTACCAGGGCTCTCAGACTTCAAGAATCTGGCACCATGGTTGGCATCCAGTTCTGTTTTGTATCAGATATTTTCTCAGTTTTCACAGCAAACATGTGGAGTCCTCCAGCCAGCAGCTGCCATGCAGCCTCTTCATCTGCTCCAGGTCGATTTTCCATCTGTTCTGGCTGAACCGTATTGGAGTTATTACTTTAATTTTTCTACCTGCCTTTATCAGAAAACCTCTAAAATGAAGGGAAATAACATGTCTGTCTCTTAAAACATAAAACATACCCTCTGTACTAATTCTGCTGGGCTAATCTATACAACCAAAGACCACCCAGTTCTAGCATCTGACTTCAGTGGCCCTCAAAAGGGTCACTGAGATGACTGCTCCCCCACCCGGGGCAAACAGAGTTTGGACAATCTAAATGGAGTATCATTGAGAAGGGTGAGGTGGGAAGGCACAGTCACTAAGTAGCTATATGTATGACTGTTTTATTCCTTACTCCTACCCATTCCCCCAACTGAATTTCTTTACTTTTCAATTTAATAAAGCCTCAGTTAAAAACAGCAGAACTCTAGGGTGGGTTGGAGAAGAAAGCTTGAATCCAGGACCAGAACTGAAGACTCAGGACCAGGATCTAAGACAAAACAGCACCTGCCAGATCCAAAGTCTAGCAGTCTTGGCCTTTCTGTGAACTGTTTCCATTTGACTAGCGTTAGCCAGCCAGTCCCAGATCTGCTGTACAAGGATAAGACAGAAAACCACTCTAAGTCAGATGGCTAGAGATATAAAGAGTATGGGAGCAGCAGCCAGGAGACCTTGTTTCCTAGGACTAGTGAGCAAGTCATTGAACTCCTGTGAGCCTAGGTTTCTTCATCTGTATAGTGAGAAGTTTAGATAGGAAGACTTCTCAGATCCCTCTTTTGCATTTGTGGAGTTCAGAATGTGGCACCCAGTCAGTCGCAGGGAAGAGCAGAAGGCTGGGCTGGTGAGCAGCAAGGAGGACCCTTTCAGGTGCCTAAAATCTGAACCAAAGCTTTTAGCCAAAGAGCTCACTGGGAAACACCAGTAATTCATTCATTTAGTAAACATAGATTGACCCACTGTTTTGTTCCAGGCACTGTGCTAAGTGCTGAAGAAAGAAGGGTACACATACCAGAAGAAGCCCCAGACTGCACATAATGGACAGGCCTACCTGCTGCTCTGTCTCTTTCCTTACTACCTGCCACTGAAAAAGCATTAGCAGTGACTTAAGCTTTCTTGTACAGTGTTGACTTTCTCCCTGCAGCATACTACCAAGAGAGAGAAGATGCAAAACTGTCTGAAGTTTTAAACACTGCCTTTTCAAACAAATGAGGATATGGTCTGAGTATAGAAACTTACTAGAACCAGTAGCCTATGAGTTCTGATAGTTGCTAGTCTAGTAATCTTTTCAGATGATAACATTTATTGAATGCCTACTGTGTGCCCAGCACTCCATACATTATTGCTGTTTCTCACAACATCTGTAAGTATTGTTTCTGTTTTACAAATGAGGCAGATGATTTTCAGAGAAGTTGAGTAACTTGCCCATGGTAACACAGATCAGCTTGGCTATACAAGCCAGCTCTTTCCACTTACCATGCCCCAGAATGAGTCCTTTCTTTCAGTAAACAGTGACAGACTTACATGCTCAAATACATACATCTTGGCAGAAAAGAGCCCGTCTTTTTAACTGGTAGAAGTCTGTCCCTCTGGGTCCTCATCCTCATGCCCCGGCTCTTGGATTTGGAGCTCTTCTGTCTTAGTGCTTCCACTACACCTGGCCACCAGGGACCACGGTCAGTCCTTGGTCATCCTTTTGACAAATGTATGGAAACACCAGTTCTTCCCTTTGCAAATGCACAGGCAGCTTAGTGGTTTACAGGTTTAGTTTTACAAAGAAAAGGTAAACAAAAAACTAACATGGATGGAGGCCATTTATTGAACACAGGCATTTAATTGGGTCTGGATTAATGATGGCCTGGGGCTAGCCCCAGTTCCAGGTCTGGCAGGAACCTCTATCTTAATTCTACCCCTAAACATTCATTTGGTGCCAAACTACCTTGTAGTTGCCTTTGACACCTGCTGTATGGAGCCCTCGTGGCACAGTGGTTAAGAGCTGCTAACCAAAAGGTTGACAGTTCAAATCCACCTGCCGCTCCTTGGAAACCCTATAGGGCAGTCCACTCTGTTCTATAGGGTGGCTATGAGTTGGAATCGACTCGACAGCAACGGGTTTGGGTTTTTTTGGTTCATAGCCCATGTGGAGCTTCTCCAGGTCTGCCTGGGTTGGCCCTTGGTCCCCAACCCCCTCCATGACGAGGGCAACCTGCTCCCCCGACAGTGCCCACCCTGGGCTCCGGCCACCCTGCATTGACTCAGGCGCTCCTTCTTCCTCCTTGGCGGTCAGCATCATTAAAACCCCACAAGTTCTGTTGTCCCTCAGCACCTTTGTTTTTCAGTCTGCCTTGTACTCTGTAACATTTTATTAAGACTGGTTCTAGACACTCAGCTCTCTCCAGAGCACGTGTGCCTCCTGTCAGCATCTCCCAACACCGTGCCGCAGGCGCCCACCTTCCCTGTGGCACCCACTCAGCTGTGCTTTCCCACGAGCGGTTTTGCCCTCAGCTCATTTACAGAGTAAGGATGATGGATGCAGGCTCAGGTAACACAGGTTACCTGCTCTGTCCGTACTATTCACCTCCTGCGTAGTGGCTTCACAGTACTTCTGAGTGTTCTGAACTACGGCCTTCCCTGGATCCATCTTAACCTACAGGCATTAACTAGGCACTCTGAATGTGCACTGTAATGTTGTTTGGTTATTAATGATACATAATTATGTTAAGCCCGTAGTTCAGAGTCAGATGGTGAAACCACAGCAACAAAAGAGGGTGGGCATAGATAAAACAAGAATGGCAGAATTTTATAATTGTTGAAACTAGGTTATTGGTGAATAGGGATTTGTTATCCTATTCTCTTCTTGATTGTACGTTTGAAAATTCCATTATAAAGGGTTAAAAAAAATATTTAAATCTATATTTACCTAAGATCAAAACTAAGATTTCATATCTTTTGGTTCCCCCCATCAATCATAATAATTTTAAAAAGCATGTTTTACTTTTCTTCTTCTTCAGCTTGGATTTTAAATCTGGAATTTTAAACCAAATAATGAAAATTGTTTCTTTCTAATCATATTCTTTTAAAATGATGGTTTCCATAATTTTTTATGTAAGTATTCTATTTTTTTAAAGCCCCAAACTTAAGACAAACCAGGTTCCTAAAATGTCATCAAGTGCAGAGGCTCTCAAAACTATCTACTGATTTGATCTCTAATGAATAAACACTTTTTAAAAAGTCACAATTTCTGTATTAAAATTATTATGAAACTTGAAGAAAATTATCTTTGACTTTAGTGTTCAGATGTATAATCATATTTATAATTGTTTGCACACATTTGGTTTTAATGCCACCACCATTCCTTCTGCATCACTTTGTTAAACAAGTGTGAGTACCTGTAAAAGGGGAGCAGGAGCTGTTTTGTTGTCACAGCTGATAAAATCCAAAGAGCACTAACCCTTGGAGAATGAGTTGAATTAACAGTATAAATGTTCAGCTTTTACTGGGACAAGTCCAGAACTGCTCCCAGCCCCCCAAGGGTCCCATAACACTCCAGAGACCCTGAAACCACCTCTTACTGCTTCTTCTGACTTCTTCCCTAACTCATCCAAATACCCCCAAGATCTTGCTGTGGAGGCCCATCCTGCCTCTGAGCTACACATTTACCTGGTTCAACTCTACATCTGCTGTCAAACTAATTCCCACCTCCAGAACGCACGCTCAGGGACATTGTCACAACAACCACCCTCTTAACAATGACCTTTCAGGCCCCACAGGTAGCATTGTACAGAAAAAACTAACACTCATTGAAAACATGTCACATCTTATTAAGAATGTCAAACCCTGTGTTCACAAATAGTTTATATCAATACTGTCCTACAAGCAACTATTAAATAAGTTGTTAAACCGACAGAGACTTAGAAAATAATTAGATTGATTTTTCATTAAATATAATTTTCTCTGTCCATATCGGCAAAGCTGGGCTGTTGATTGGCATTTAGAAATTCATCCAGTCACACAATAAGTGATAAAACCAAAAAACCAAACCCATTGCCGTCGAGTCAATTCCAACTCAGCGACCCTATAGGACAGAGTAGACCTGCCCTATAGGGTTTCCAAGGAGCGCCTGGTGGATTGGAACTGCCAACCTTTTGGTTAGCAGCCACGCTCTTAACCACTGCGCCATTAAACAGTATCAGTGTTGATACAGTGATGAACTAGATATTTATTCTTTCAAAAATTAGAAGTTGTGTGCCTACTGTGTGCAAGATGCTGGGCTTGGACCAGGTAGCTAGCAGTGCTACTTCCTGCTACCACCGTGCTTAGAATGTGGCCCGTTGATGGGGACTGGAGATCCAGCTCTCTGACTAGGAAACTGCCCATCTAAAGTCACTAGGACTACTGTGTCCCATATCTCGAGACAGAATCTTCAGAGGAACCTGCTACTTGATGGAATGTTTCTTCCCTAAA